TTTTCTCCTATCCTATATGTTGTCTCTTCACTGTGTTGAATGTTCATTTTGATGGGTAGTATCTTTTTAGTTCAATGTAATGCATTTGTGCATTTTTGCTTCTGCTTCCTGTGCTTTGAGGTCAAAAGCACAGGAAGGTCATATGCAAAAAAATATCATTGTCTCTGTCAATGTTTTATAGAATTCCCCCCTATACATTCTTCCAGTGGTTTTAAGGTTTCAGATCTCCCTTTCATGTCTTTGACATATTTTCAAATTTTGTACAGTCTGAGAGATAAAGACAACTTTCAATCTTTGAATGTGGATTTATAATTATCACAGCTGTATTGAAAAGGGTGATTTTTCTCCAATATATGTTATTGACACCTTTGCTCATAATCATTTGCTATAGATGCACAAGTTTATTTCACAATCTTTTCTCTTTCCATTTTCTATTTTTATGCCAGAACCATGTTATTTTGCTTACTATGACTCTGTAGTGTCTCTTTAAATTAGGAATTGATATGCCTCCAACTTTATTCTTTTGTTCAAAATAGTATTAACTTTTGGAGACTTCTGTGCTTCCATTTGAATTTCATGCTGTTTTTTTTCCCAATTGAAATCCTTGTATATAGGAGAAATGAATTTAAATCAGTGAATATGTGGTTTACAACTGCAAAGGAGGAGAGGAAAAATAAAGAAGTTTAACAACAATAACAAAAAATTTCATTGGGATTCTCATGGGGATTGTATTAACTCCTGAAATTTCTTTAGGTTTTATAGCACTTTTAATAGGATTAACTCTTCCAATTTATGAGGATGAGAGGTCTTTCTATTTTCTTTGTATCCCTCTCTCTCTTCAATTTCTTTCATCAATGTGTTTTAAAATTTAGAGGTATTTATTTCACTTTCTTAGATTTATTCCTAGTTATATTATTGTTTTGTTGTAGCCTTTATGAATTGGATTCCTTTCATGATTTTTTTTCTCAGAAATCATATTAATAGTTTATTAAATTGCTACTGATTTTTGCATAATGATATTGTATTCTTCAAATTTACTGTATTATCTTATCAATTCTAATAGACATTTGGAGGAGTCTTTAAAATTTTCTATTTTTAGGATTATGTAATGGAAAACAGGGATAACGTGGACTTCTTTCTTTCCAATTTATGCCCCATATTTCTTTTTCTAGCTTATTTCTCTGGCTAAAACTTTTATGTTTAATAAAATCAATAAGAACACACACACTTGTCTTGTGCTAGATTTAGGGGAAAAGCTTTCAAGTTTTACCCATTTTTTTATGTTGACAGTGTTTTTACCTTACAAAGTCTTAATTATGTTGAGGTATAATCCTTCTGTAGCTAATTTGCTCAGGGCTTTTATCATGAAGTAATGTTAACTTTTATGAAATGCTTTTTTTATTCTTTGTTCTGTTGATGTGATGTCTTATTTAATTGATTTCACTCTTTAAAACCATCCATGCATCCCTTGAATAAATCCAATATCATTATCCCGAATGATCTTCTTGATGTGTTAGCTTTTATTTGCTAAGTTTTTTTGTGTGTGAATATTTGCATCTATGTTCATCAGGGATATTAGTCTGTAGTTTTGTTTTTTGTTGTGTTCTTTTATGATTTTAGTATCAGGTTGCTGCTGGCCTCGAAGAATGATTCTGGAAGATTTCCCTCTGTTTCAATTGTTTAGAATTGTTTGGAAAACAAAATTCTTCTGTGAGAGTTTGGCAGAATTCAGAAATGAAACCTTTGAATATTGAACCTTTGTTCATTTGGAAAATGTTTTATTAGTTTTAATTTCAATACCCATCACTGATCTTTTTGGTGTTTTTTTATGGTTTAATATAATTAAATTTTCGTAGATTATAAGTGTTCAGAAATTTCTCTATTTCTTCTAAATTTTCCCCTATTTTGGCACATAGATCTGGAAAAATCTCTTGTATTCATTAGTATTTCTGTGGTATTATTATAATGTGTTCTTTGTTATGTCTTATTTTACTGATTTCTGTCTTCTTTCTTTTTTCTTAGTCTAGATAAATATTTGTTAATTTTGTCTATGGTTTTTAAAAAACTTTGTTTCACTGATTTTTCTTAAATTTTATCTATTTTTGATCTGATATTTGTTAATCCATTGCTACTATTATTTTTAGGTTTAGTTTCCTATTATTTTACCAGGTCATTGATAAGCATCTTTAGATTATTTTTTCAAAATTTCCCTTAATTTTTATGCAGGCATTTATCAATATAAACCTTATTTTTAGTATTACTATTTCTATATCCCATCTTTTGATAGGTTGTATGATTCTTTTTTTCTACAGTAAGGAAAAGGCTCAGGCAGGAGCCTCAAGGATTATAGGAGGAGATTATAGATATTCAACTCATAGTGAATTAAGTAAGTAGAACAAAGAGAGAAGTTTAATTCATTTTATACATAATGATTCAGTATGGTCCCATCAGAGTTTGAAGACTGACTTGGTTGGTTTGGACTTCAGAGTTTTGTGAGTCAAGAAGAAATTTACTGTTTCTGTTTGACCCAAGAAAAGAGTTTATTTTGAGCTGCTTTATGTAAGTTCTAAAGATTAAAAAATTAAACTTTCCTGATTCCCATTTTAGCAGGAGGGTACTGGCCTTTTGGAATGAGTTTGGAAGAATGCCTCTTTTTCAATAGTTTGGAACAATTTGACTAATTTTATTGATTCTTCTGTGAGAATTTTTTAGAATTCAGCAGTGAAACCTTTGTACCCTGAACTTTTTATTTGTCGGGAAATGCTTTATTACTGATCCAATTTCAATACCCTTTATTGCTCTGTTTGTTTTTCATGTCTTATTGATCAATTTGGGGAAGTTATGTGTGTCCATAAATTTAAGTAATACCATTAGGCTTATAATTTTCATAATACTCTCTAATTATCTTTGTATTTCTTCTCTGATCTTTTTTATTTCTTTCCTTCAATTAATTTTTGGTTTTGTTTCTTCTTACTTTATTAGGTTATTGAGATCCATTATTATGTTATATATTTGAAATTGATTTATGTAGGAATCCATTGTTAGAACCTTATTTTTTAATACTACTTTTCCTGTGACCCCCAAATTTTGGTATGTTGTGTGGTTCTCTCTTATTATAAAAAGAAAAATGGTCAGGCAGGAGCCTCATGGGATGAAGTATGAGAGTAGAAAAATTCATCTTATTGATAATAAATCTAAAGTACTGAAGACAGACATAACATTTATTTTATTAAAAGTAAAAATGTGTGGTATTTTTTTGGTGTTTAGAGGCTGAGATGGTTGGTTTAGAGGTTGTATGTCTGTGAATCACACAGCAAGTTACTGCTCTGTGTTGATATGAATAAAGATTTCATCAAGACCTGAGTTAATGAAAATTCTAAAGGTTAAAAAATCAAACTTTTCTGACCACCATTTTAACCAATGAATTCTGCAATTATTAAATCAATTTCTAGTTCCAAAGTCACTTATGAGTGTCACCATGGAATAATGCAAAATAATACACACTTGGTAAACATTGAACTTGCTTGATTTTTTTTTTTTGAGGTAAGTCTAAGAGAGTCAGGGTATATGAGGTCCGGTCTCAGTACTACCATCTACAATCTGTGTGACCTTGGCCATGGCATGGAATCTCTGAGGCCCAGATTCCTCATTCCTCAATGGGAATAATTTTACTTTCTAAATATAATTAAGAAAATTAAAAGTGATATGATAGGTGTGAAAATTTTTGGTCATTGTCAGCATCTCTGTAAACATGGAAATTGAACATTTTGTAACTATGATCTTATGTCAACAACTTAGCTCTCTTTACTAAATAGCTTAGAAGTAACTATGCTAACCAATTTGTTGATCTAGTAGTATCTATCAATCCAATGATGTATTGAATCATGACTACCAAAAGTATTCACTCTATTTCGATTTGCATATTATTCCTCCTGTGCAGGGAGTCTTGATGTAGTCCCTGGCTTCCATTCACCTCCAAAGCACATGCTTGTTTTTCTATGTCCAGTATCATTGCTTGTGATCCAATATTTCATCCCATCACATCTGACAGTTAAGTAGTAAACAGCAACAGAAAGAGTTCCATGTATAAGTCACTGGGGAACATCTGTCAGTTTCTCAAGCCTTACTCCTCCAATTCCCTGAAATTGGCTCATATTCATTTCTGCAGAGAAAGTTTCACCCCTGTACTGATGGAGAGGAGATAAGCCCTCTCTGCATCTCCTCCTTTTATAGAATCTCTGATTCAGTTATCTTTGGAGTGAAATAATGGGTATTAATTTGAAGGGAATCTTGTTGGGCTATGAACACAATACAGTGTACATTTAGAGTAGTGTTTGGGGTCTTTTTATTCACTTTTCTAATGTGATTTTCTAGGCGGCTATGGTGTAAGCCATGGTACACCATGGCCATTCGAGTTCATTTAAATTTCTGGTCTACCCCTAGTGAGTTGTGTGAAATGATGGTCTCCTGTTTTTCCAGAATCTCCCTGAACCTGTTTGACAAAAAAAAATATAATAATGATCTCTGCTTTCTGCCCTTCAGGTTTGGTGGGGTTAGGGAGAAAGAAGAGTGTAGGCTAAATGACAAATTCTAGGTATATATTCTTAGTTAAGTAGTGATATATGTTTTGTCTTTCAAAATGTATAAATTATGCTACTTACTTTAGTTCAGACAGTTGTGATGTTAGTTCAATTCTTTGAACTATTTAAAAGACTTTATTTTCAAACACAAACTATCCTATTGTTTAATGAAGTATCACAAGTTCAATGTTGCTGTAAAAAGTCAGAGATAAAGTGGATTTTCCCAAAGTCATTAATTTCCAATGTGTCATCAGTCTAAGAATCCAGAATGTTGAGCAATATATTTGATCAAATGTTTCATTTTTTTCTTAATCCTGGTTGCACATTGGTGTAGCCAGAGGGTTGTGTCCTTATTTTTTTCTGTACTGTAAATTGTCTCTTCCTCTGCTCTATCCCAGAATGGTCAACAGTGGAGTTTGGAAAAGAGGGCAACAGTAAATAACAGTTTAGTTTTAACTTTATCAGGTGACAAACGTATTCTCAGAAGGGAATGGAATTTTTCCTGTTGACTGACTCAGCATTTTATATGTAAATAGGACATATTTTGAATTATGAGGGAGAACTATAAAAGCTTTATATTGATTGCAAGCTCACATTTGTTTCAGTAAAAAGAGAAGACTTCAATGGATTTAGCTGTCATCCTGGTGCTCAGTCTCTGTTGTCTGCTTCTCTTCTCATTATGGAGACAGAGCTCTGGGGGAAGGAAGCTCCCACCAGGCCCCACTCCTCTCCCAATTCTTGGAAATATCTTACAAATAGATGCTAAAAACATTGGCAGATCTTTAAGCAATGTAAGTATGCTCATGTTCCTCCAGTGGCTTGCAAAGGGTAAGTGAACTAATTCTTATTTTTAAACATATTCATGGGAGCAAATTATTAAGAGATTGCTGCACAGCAAATATTCCTTGTGGACTTGATGTTTCCATTGCTTTTATATGTCTGTCAATGTTCAACATCTCTAGCAATAAGGAAAATTATTGCAAAGAGAATCTATACTGAAATTTCACCTCACTTTAGTCAGAATGGTCATTATCAAGAATATGAATAATAATACATTTTGGTGAGGATCTGGGGGAGAGGTACACTCATATGTTAATGGGACTACAAATTTCAGTGCAACCACTGTGGAAAACAGAATGTAGATTCTTCAAAATACAAGAAATGGAAAGACCATATGAATCAGACATCCCACTCTTCAGTATATATCCAAAATGATTGAATCAGCATACTATAAAAATGTAGCCACTTCAATGGCTATAGTAGCACAATTCACAATAGCGAAGCTATGAAACACACCTATGTGCCTGTATCCAGATGAATAATAAAAGAAAATGTTGTATATATACAATAGATTATTAGTCATACAGAGGAATAAAATTATGGCATTTTCTGGTGATTTGATGGAACTGGAGAGAATTGTGTGAAATTAAGTAAGCCACAGGCAGAAAGTCATAAGTCAGATGTTTTCTCTGATATGAAGAAGCTAGTACAAAATAAGGGGGAAAGAAGAAAAGGGTGGAATCCATGAAAATAGAAGAAAGATCAGTCAGGCAGAGGAAAGAGATTAAGGAGGAGGAAGTAAGGATGGGAAAAGGGAAAAATGTTTGAATGTATCTTAATTTCCTAAGTACACATACCAATCTCACCTTCATGTATATCCAGAAGGCATTACTTTTTAAAAAAATCTGTAAATAAACAGAAGAAATAACAGTGGAATAAAGGGAAAAGAACAGGGGGAGGGAAGAAAGAAGGGAAAGGGGGAAGTACTAGGGAACAAAGTAGAGCAAATCATATTCTATGCTTGTTTAATTATGTGGAATGTAGATAACTTTTTTCTTTTTTTCTTTAGTTTATTCTAGTTATACATAACATTGGGGTTTGTTTTGAGATAATTAACTATTAACATATAATTTCTAATGATCTCACGTGTGGAATCTTACAACAACAACAAAAAGATATGAATGCATAGTAATGGGGCTGGGATGTGGAAAAAAGGGTGAGATACTTTGGTCCAGGGAACAAACACTTCAGTTACAAGGTGAATAAGTATGGAGACTTAAGGCATAGCATGGTGACTACAGTAAATAATTATGTATCTTATATCCAAAATTTGCTAATGTGTTCTCACCACACATACCCATGAAAATGTTAACACTGAGGTGTTGTATGTTAATTAGTTTGATTGTCGTAATTATTTTGCAATGCAAAAATAAATTAAGACATCACATTTTATACATTTACATTAAATTTTTCAAACATACTTGAAAATTTTTTAAAATTTAAAATTTTCTTTTAAAAAAGAAAACTATGGACTGGGAATCAGTATAAGAGTAGAAAAGAATTAACCATTCAGGGTCCACTGAGGGGTAATAGGATCCTTATGGATTCTGAACAATGTTGCTGTCTGTGCCCTATGGATTTTGTGGGGTGAGAGAAATTATTCTTCCATGAGATGCTGCATGGCACTACTCCATGGTACCTGCTGTCCTGTGTGTTAATTATAGCTGTGGCCTCAACTACAAAGAGTGTTAAGATAATCTATACTCACATAAAAATATAGACTTATAGTATTCATCGCTGGCTTACTTTATCTGAATTTCTTAGGCATGAGCCTTGCTAGTGCCCCTGAAGAAATCAGTTGGGTAATTGTGCAATTGGGGGAGGAATTTCAGTAACTTGGTATTTCCCTGTTTTCTTTTAGAGTGCTCTTGGATAAATGGTGAGATTGGTATGTGTACTTAGGAAATTAAGGTGAACTGAGGGCTGATAAATTGTTCAAGCTTCAGACAAAATAATGGTTCAAATTTAGGTCTTCTGTTTATTAATCACGGTATTCTACAAATGAGATTTGTAACTCTCTAACTTTATTTACTTTAAATGTAAAACAGGACAAACAAGTCTTCTAAATGAATTGATGTGAGAATTAATTACATCATAGGTATCCATTGCCTGAGCCAGGCACATCAAAGACCATCCATAAGTAACATCTATAATTACCATCATATCTGTGAGCAAAACTTAGAAATATTTGAAGATTCATATGGCAGAATAAAATATAACAAATACAATAAGGATAATCTGAATAACAGTATGAATCATTCAGAATATGTATGTCAAGTACTTATTTCTTTGGTTAACATTTCTATTTTCTATCCCATTTCCAGTTATCAAAAGTCTATGGCCCTGTGTTCACTCTGTATTTGGGCAAGAAGCCCACTGTGGTGTTGCACGGATATGAAGCCGTGAAGGAAGCCCTGATTGATAGTGGAGAAGAGTTTTCTGGAAGAGGCAGTTTCCCAGTGGTTGATAGAACAAGTACAGGTCTTGGTAAGGGTGCATGTGCATGGGATAGTGGGCATGTGGAACACAGGAAAAAGAAAAAAGAGAGAGAGAGAGAGAGAGAGAGAGAGAGAGAGAGAGAGAGAGAGAGAGAGAGAGAGAGACTTGATGATCTCCTAAGGCTAAGGCTAAGTTTGGCCATCTTTGTGGCTGACACTTTTAGCTTCCTCTCCCTCACCTGGGATCTCACTCTTTGTTTTCTGCTCCCTCTCTTTTAGGAATCATTTTAAGTAATGGAAACAGATGGAAAGAAATGAGACGCTTCTCAGTCGCGACCCTGCGGAGTTTTGGGATGGGGAAGAGGAGCATTGAGGAATGTGTTCGAGAGGAAGCTCGCTGCCTTGTGGAGGAGTTGAGGAAAACCAAGTGTGGGTGATTGATTATCACTGCCTTTACCAGACTAGCTCCTCCCTAGTAAGGCCCGTGGATCCATTCCACACAGAGTCATTTGTTCTGGGTCCTGTCTGTCAGCCCTCATGTGGAGGAGGGATGATTTAAAGCAGAGATCCAGAGTTTGTGTATCTGTGCTGCCTGAGCGTGGACTGGGCATGCATGGTGGGTGTAAAAGGTCACAGCATCTTACTCTTTTTTTTTCTGTTTTCAAATTACTGCATCATGAAGATACAAGGTGTCATTTTCTTAAAGAGTTAAAGAGGAGGTTTTATCCATGACACATTTGTGAGCTTCCCATTCCACAGCTTTCACTATTGTCCATTGGACACAGTGGAAACACCCACCTTAGATCCTATGGAGATGAAGCAAGTGTTGTGTGTGATTAATGGGACTGTGTTTATGCAGACAACCTTACTGACTGACATCTCTCAGGGTTTCTTCCAAGGCTGGTGTCTGCAATTTCCACCAGTAATTACACTAATATAGGGTTTCATATTGACTTGCACATCTCCTGGAAAGTCTCATTAATCTTCATTATGGCAATTATTTACCTCTCCCTGTCCTCTACTGATCTGTGAAGTGTTTTTTAATATTGTCTCTGATTTTTAGATTGGATCCAGATGACTCTGTTTATAAATTTCTCTTCCAAACATAACAAAAGGAAAGATGAAAATTAGACTTTGCTAGTGAATGACAGACACAAAGAAATTCCAGACTTCCCAAATTGTCTTCCAATTCCTTAGCTAAAATAAAGCTTTTTCTGAAAGCTTGGAACTCTGTAATAATTAAAGGAGTCTGGTAAAGGTGTAGGTAACTCTACAGGTTTGCTATTTTCCAATGCTGTATTCTTTGTTTACATCATTTTTTAAAGTTTATTAACTTTTAAATATTTTTTTATTATGAACATGTAGTTTTTACATGTTAATGGTGGTCAGAATGATACTCCCACGCATGCATACAGCATAAACTAATCAAATCCATCCTTTCTTCATCTAGTCTCCATACCACCACCACATACTCTTCTCCGTCTCTAGTAATCACTATTTTAACTTCAGATTAATTTTTTTTAATGTCCACAAATGAGAGACAGTGAATACTTACCTTTCTGTGTCGGTCTTCTTTCGCTTACCATATTGCCCTCTAGTTCTGTCCAGGCTGCAAATGATTTAGTTCTTCTTTATGGCAAAATATGATTTCCTTGTATATTTAGTCAGTATTTTCACCACTGTGACCAAAAGACTTGATAAAAACAACTTTAAGGAGGAAAAGTTTATTTCAGGGCTCATGGTTTCAGAGGTCTCAGTGCATAGATGGCCAACTCTATTCCTTAGGGCCTGAGATGAGGGAGAACATCATAGTGGAAGTGTGTGGCAGAAGAAAGCATCTGGGGTTATGACACCAGGAAGGGAAGAGGAGTGGAGGAGAGCCTCAATCAATAAGGACAAAATATAAAACCCAAATCCATACTCCCAGAGACTCACCTCCTCCAGCCTGCCTAGAGTTATAGTTATAGTCTTGGGGTGTTGGTTTTGTTGTGTCCGTTCAGCAAAGAATTGAAGAACAGGACACAGGAACAGCAAGCAAGAAGTAGATTTATTGAAAAAATAAAAGTGTGTTTATTGCAAAGAGACAGAGATGCAAAGATAGACTTCTCTGAGGAGAAGGGACCCAGAACTGGGAATTTTGGCCTGTTCAAACTGGTGAGTTCTGGCCTGTTCTTTTTATCATCTCTGGAATTTTCTTCTTTCCTTATCTCCTCCCCTGTCCACATGCTCCTCCCTATTATTGATCAGTACCCTCTCTGTTCATGCATCTGTTTTAGTTTTTCTATCGGATCCCTACCTTAGGATCATGAGTATGGAAGTGTCTGTCTGATTGAGTTCCCCACTTGTGTCCATGAGCCCTTTTGTCAACCAAAAAGTTGACTTTATCAGAAGACCCCTCCTTGCTCCTTTGTTCTGGCCCTACCCCCAAGCTCCTCACTTGCCATCTTTCCCTGGCTGCCTAAGCCCTTCTGTATCTCCATCATTACCACCAAGTTAATTGCTCTCAGGGCATTAGTGCATTAGGGCATTAGTTGTATGTTGTGTAGGTGAGAGATAAGGGTCAAGTTTCAATCTTTTGCATGCACCACTTATTGAAGAAGCTCTCCTTTCTCCACCAGATGTTTTGGTAAATTTGTTGGGTATCGATTGGCTATAGATGAATATTTTTTGTGTAATCTCTATTCTCTAATACTGTTCTAGGTGCCTGTTTTTGTGCCAGTGTCATGTTGTTCTGCTCACCGTGGCAGGAATTGTCCCACCTCCAGCTTTATTCCTACTATGGTTTAGGTATCAAAAACTCATGAATGGACAATGAAAATAAATAGAGGTAAAAATATAGGGGTTATATATATTGTTTTTGTCAAATATTTTGGTCACAGTGCCAAAAATTCTGACTAAAACATTTCATTTTGTTCAAGATTTTCTTGACTATTCATGATCTTTTGTGCCTCCACATTAACCTTAGAATTGTTTTTTTTTCTACTTCTGTGAAGAATGTCATTGATATTTCATGGGGACTAAGTCAAATCTACAAAATACTTTGGGTGGTAAAAACTTTTAAAAATATTATTTTTTCCAATCCATAAACATGGGAGATTTTTCTATCTTTTTATGTCTTCTTTAATTGTTTTCAACAGTTGTTTGTAATTTTCTTTTTTTTTAAATTTGAAACTATGGTTTATTTTGAAATCCTTATCTTCAGTTAAGACTATTTTTCATATCTTGCTGTCTTTTGACTAAGGAGATTAATTTGTCATTCTTTTTAAATTTGTTTTAATTAGTTACACATGACAGCATAATGACCTTGACATATCATACAGTTGAATCAGATGGGATATAATTTCTCATTATTCTGAGGGTACAGGTTGCAGAATCACATTGGTCATGCAGTCACATATATACACACAGCAATAATAATGTCTATTTCATTCTACTGTCCTTCCTTTCCTCCCTTCCCCTCCCCTCCCCTCCCATCAGTTATCTGTACCCAATCTAAGGTGATGAAATTCTTTTTTTTAATTTTTTTTCTCATATCTTCATACATGTATTTGTATAACAATGGGGGTCTCCTTCTATCTTCCATGCAATTCCCTTTCTCCCTCCTTTTCCCTCCAACCTCTCTTCCCTGTATAGAGGTAATCTTCTTCTTATGCTCTTCCTCCCTACCCCATTTTGAGTCACCCCCTTATATCAGAGATGACACTCAGCATTTGGTTTTTTGGGATTGGCTAATTTCACTTAGCATAATCTACTCTAATGCCACCCATTTCCCTGCAAATGCCATGATCTTGTTTTTTTAGTGATGAGTAATATTCCATTGTGTATAAATGCCATATTTTTTAATCCATTCATCCATTGAAGGGCATCTAGGTTGGCTCCACATTCTAGCTATTGTGAATTGTGCTACTACAAACATTGATGTGGCTGTGTCCCTGTAGTATGCTGTTTTTAAGTCCTTTGGGTATAGACCGAGAAGAGGAAAGCTGGGTCAGATGGTGGTTCCATTCCCAGCTTTCCCAGGAATCTCCATACTGCCCTCCAAATTGGCTGCAACAATTTGCAGTCCCACCAGCAATGTACAAGTGTACCTTTTTCCCCACATCCTCACCAGCACTTGTTGTTGTTTGACTTCATAATGGCTGCCATTCTTACTGGAGTGAGATGGTATCTTAGAATAGTTTTAATTTGCATTTCTCTTATTACTAGAAATGGTGAGCATTTTTTAATGTATTTGTTGATTGATTGTATATCCTCTTCTGAGAAGTGTCTGTTCAGGTCCTTGGCCCATTTGTTGATTGGGTTATTTGGTTTTTTGGTGTTTAATTTTTTGAGTTCTTTGTATACCCTAGAGATTAGAGCTCTATCTGATGTGGGAGAGGTAAAAATTTATTCTCTATTCACCTCACATATTATATCTCTTGCTAAGAAAAAACTTTTTAGTTTGAATTAATCCCATTTGTTGATTCTTGGTTTTAATTCTTGTGCTATAGGTGTCTTATTAAGGAACTTGGGGCCTAACCCCATGTGATGGAAATTAGGGCCAACTTTTACTTCTATTAGACACAGGTTTGATTCCTAGATTCTTGATCCATTTTGAGTTAACTTTTGTGCATGGGGAGAGATAGGGATTCAATTTCATTTTGTTGCATATGGATTTCCAGTTTTCCCAGCACCATTTGTTGAAGATGTTATCCTTTCTCCATTGCATGCTTTTAGCACCTTTGTCTAATATAAGGTAGTTGTAATTTTGTGGGTTGGTCTCTGTGTCCTCTATTCTGTACCATTGGTCTACCAGCCTGTTTTTGTGGCTAGTACCATGCTGTTTTTGTTACTATTGCTCGTAGTATAGTTTAAGATCTGGTATAGCGATACCACCTGTTTCACTTTTCGTGCTTAGAATTGCTTTAGCTATTCTGGGTCTCTTATTTTTCCAGATGAATTTCATAATTGCTTTTTCTATTTCTGTGAGGAATGTCATTGGGATTTTGATCGGAATTGCATTGAACCTGTATAGTGCTTTTGATAATATGGCCATTTTAATAATATTAAGTTTGCCTATCCATGAGCAAGGTATACCTTTCCATCTTCTAAGGTCTTCTTCTATTTCTCTCTTTAGGGTTCTATAGTTTTCATTGTATATATTTTTCATCTCTTTTGTTAAGTTGATTCCCAAATATTTTTTTTTTTGAGGATATTGTGAATTGGGTAGTTTTCCTCATTTCCATTTCAGAGGATTTGTCACTGTTATACAGGAATGCTTTTGATTTATAGGTGTTGATTTTATATCCTGCCACTTTGCTGAATTGATTTACGAGTTCTAGAAGTTTCTTGATAGAGCCTTTTGGGTCTTCTAGGTATAGAATCATATTATTAGCAAATAGTGCTAGTTTAAGTTCTTCTTTTCATATAGTTATACCTTTAATTTCTTTCATCTGTCTAATTGCTCTGGCCAGTGTTTCAAGAACTATGTTGAATAGAAGTGTTGAGAGAGGGCTTCCCTGCTTTGATCCAGATTTTAGAGGGAATGCCTTCAATTTTTCTCCATTTAGAATGATGCTGGCCTGAAGCTTAGCGTAGATAGCTTTTACAATGTTGAGGGAAGTTCCTGTTATCCCTAGTTTTTCTAGTGTTTTGAACATAAAGAAGTGCTATATTTTGTCGAATGCTTTTTCTGCATCTGTGGAGATGATCATATGGTTCTTATCTTTAAGTCTATTGATGTGGTGAATTACATTTATTGATTCCATATGAACCAACCTTGCATCACAGGGATGAATCCCACTTGATCATGGTGCACGATCTTTTTGATATATTTTGCCAGAATTTTATTTTAATTTATTTTAATTTTTGATATATTTTGCCAGAATTTGAGGATTTTTGCATCTATATTCATTAGAGATATTGGTCTGAAGTTTTCTTTCTTTGAAATGTCTTTGTCTGGTTTTGTAATCAGGGTGATATTGGCCTCATAGAATGAATTTGGAAGTATTCCCTCTTTTTCTATTTCCTGACATAGATTGAAGAGTATTGGTATTAGTTCTTTAAAGGTCTTGTAAAACTCTGCTGTATATCCATCTGGTCCTGGGATTTTTGTGGTTGGTAATCTTTTGATGGCTTCTTTTATTTCCTCACTTGAAATTGGTCTGTTTAAGTTGTGTATATCTTCCTGACTCAATCTGGGCAGATCATATGATTTAAGGAATTTATCGATGCCTGCAGTGTCTTCTATTTTATTGGAGTATAAGGTTTCAAAATGATTTCTAATTATCTTCTGTATTTCTGTAGTGTCCATTGTGATATTGCCTTTTTCATCCTGCATGATAGTAATTTGGGTTCTCTCTCTTCTTCTCTTCATTAGCATGGCTAAGGTTCTGTCAATCTTATTTATTTTTTCAAAGAACCAACTTTTAGTTTTGTCAATTTTTAAAATTCTTTTATTTCAATTTCATTGATTTCAGCTCTGACTTTAATTATTTCTTGGCTTCTGCTGCATTTGCTGCTCATTTGCTCTTTTTATTCTAGGGCTTTGAGATGTAGTGTGAGATCATTTATTTGTTGGCTTTTTCTTCTTTTAAGTAATGAACTTCATGCAATGAATTGTCCTCTTAGTACTGCTTTCATAGTGACCCAGAGATTTCAATGTTGTGTCTGTGTATTCATTTATCTCTAAGAATTTTTTAATTTCTTCCTTAATGTCTTCTGTTACCCATTGTTCATTCAATAGCATATTGTTCATTCTCCATGTTATGTAGGAATTTTTCTTCCTTATTTTATCATTGATTTCCAATTTCATTCTATTATGATCCTATAAAATGCATGGTAATATCTCTACTCCTTTATATTTGGTAGGAGTTGCCCTATGGCATAATATATGGTCTATTTTTGAGAAGGATCCATGTGCTGCTGAGAAAAAAGTGTATCTGCTTGATGTTGGTTGATATAATCTATTTATGTCAATTCAGTCTAAGTTATTGTGTTATTCAGTTCTATAGTTTCTTTCTTCAACTTTTGTTTGGAAGATCTGTCCAGTGTTGAGAGAGGTGTGTTAAAGTCATCCATGATATTGTATTGTGGTCTATTTGTCTCTTGAACTTGTGAAGAGTTTGTTTGATGAACATAGCTGTACCATTGTTTGGGGCATATATATTAATGATTGTTATGTCTTGTTGTTGATTGGTTCCCTTTAGCAGTATGTAGCGTCATTCTTTATCCCTTTTGATTAACTTTGGCTTGAAGTCTATTTTATTTGATATGAGTATGGACACCCCTGCTTGCTTCTGAGGTCCATGTGAGTGGTATGATTTTTCCCAACCTTTCACCTTCAATCTATGTATGTCTTTTCCTAACAGATGAGTCTCCTGTAGGCAGCATATTGTTGGATATTTTTTTAATCCAGTTTACTCGCCTATGTCTTTTGATTGGTGAGTTTAAGCCATTAACATTTAGGGTTACTATTGAGATATAGTTTGTACTTCCAGCCATGTTTGTTTATTTTTGTTATTTAACTTTATTTGTTTTTCCTTTTTGATTAGTTTTTCCCTTTACTGTACTACCTCTCATTGTTGATTTTCATTTTCTCTTCGTGTAATGTTTTGCCCAGGATGATTTGAAGTGCTGGTTTTCTACCTGCCAATTATTTTAACTTTTGTTTATCGTGGAAGGTTTTTTATTTCATCATCAAATCTGAAGCTTAATTTTGCTGGATACAAGATTCTTGGTTGGAACCCATTATCTTTCAGCGTTTGAAATACGTTGTTCCAGGATCTTTTAGCTTTCAGAGTCTGTGTTGAAAAATCAGCCATTAACCTAATTGGTTTACTCCTGAATGTAATCTGCTTCTTTTCTCTTGTAGCTTTTAAATTTCTCTCCTGGTTCTGTATGTTAGGAATTTTCATTATAATGTGTCTTGGTGTGGATCTCTTGTGGTTTTGTACATTCAGCGTCTTTTAGGCTTCTAGGATTTGGATTTCCATTTTATTCTTCATGTCTGGAAAGTTTTCTAAGATTATTTCATTGAACAGAATGCTCATTCCTTTGATTTGGACATCTATACCTTCCTGTATCCAAATAATTCTTAAATTTGGTCTCTTTATGTTATCCCAGATTTCTTGGATGTTCTGTTCATGGTTTCTTATCAGCCTTTCTGAGCTGTCTAGACTCTTTTCGAGATGCTATACTTTGTCTTCATTGTCTAATATTCTGACTTCTAATTGTTCTACTCTGCTGGTGATACTCTAATTTGAGTTTTTAATTTGGTTTATAATTTCCTTCAATTCCGGGATTTCTGTTTGTTTTTGTTTTTTTGTGGTTTTTTTTTTTTATAACCTCTATCTCCTTGTAGAATTGATCTTTTGTTTCTTGGATTTGTTTATGTAGTTCATTGTCCAAGTGATCTTTCATTGTCTGCATTTGCTGTCAAAGGTCTTCCTTGAGACTCCAGATCATCTTAAGCATGTATATCCTGAAATCTTTATCTGACATTCTTTCTGCTGTAGCTAATAACTCCTCTATTGTTGAGTTGTCCTGCATTGTTTGTGTTTCTTTCTCATGTTTCTTTCCAGCTCTTTGTGATTGCTGTGTTATTATTTTCTCCTATAGATTTGTATTGATTTTGTATAGTTCCGAGATCTCTTCTTTGTGATGGAAGAAAATGTCTAGAAATGTTGAATTCAATTGTAATTTAAAATAAATTCATTAGCTTCAAAAAACGCATACAGATTCTGGTGACATATAGAGAACTGAGGGTTGGGCATAGGACTTTATGTTTAGGGGGAAAGATGTGAGAATATGAGGGTTAATATATCTTAGCTACTTTGGAGGAGAGCTCAAATGAAGGGAGTTATTAATAGGAGAATAGACAGGAGGTATTTTGGTGTGGGAAGCCGTTATGGTACGTGACTGAGATACCTCCCTGACTGGGTGTGAGGCACTCAGACTGGCTGTGTCAGAGTTTTTTGCCCACCCTTTCCAGGTGCAAGGGCTTGTCGGTGTGGGGGTGTGACTGACCATTGACCTGGAAACCAATCACTGACCCTGACCTTGGAATGCTGTCCCCCTCAACCTTCATTGGATGGAATTTTCCCCTGAATTTTTTGTTCCCCAATAAAAGCCCACTCTCTGGCGTGCTTCTTCCTCTCTCCTGCTGGTCTCTTGTGTAAACCTCGCTACTGCCAAATGGCTCGAGGCAGGAGCCGGGAGAAGCTGTCTCTGAGCTGGGCCAGTAAAAGGTAAATTGAGTTTTATGTGTCTTTATTTTGATCTCACTAGTTAACTTCTATGTTTGAAACCTCTAGTATGAAGCTAGCATGCTGGTCGCGTGGCAGATTTTGGGGTAGCTAAGTACTTGGGAGGACAATAAGAAGCATAGAAACATTCACCTATCTGCATTTAGTAAATTACATGTAGTAGAAATAGGAACGCTTGTGAGGTTGGGAGAGGAAGAGAAGGAGGAAGAAAAGTAAAAAGAAAAGAAGAAGAAGAAAGAAAAACAAGAAAAAATGGGGGGAAGAGATTGAGAAAAGGGAATGAAAAAAGAGAGAGAGAAAAGGAGAGAAGAAAAAGATAAGAAGAAAAAAGGAAGGAGGGAAAAAGAAAGAAAAAAATGCACTCTTAGAATTCCGTTTTCTTCTCTTCCAGTGGGTGGTGCTGTGCATTCCAGGTTGAGTCTCTGCCCTCAGAGTGAGGAAGCAAAATGTGTGGGGAGGCTTTCCCTCCCTCACCAGGTGGCTCTCCAATCCCGCTCTCTTTGGGTTGTTCCCAGTCTTTATCCCCCTCACTTCTCCTGCCCACCAGGTTCCAATTACTGGGACTATTCTTCGCAGCCCTGGATTCACTCTGGGCGTGCGGTGCCCTGGCTACCCAGCACTTCTCATCAACTAAGTGTTGGGTAGTCACCAAGACATTACAGCTGTGGAGAAGGGGAGTTGGAGGCCAGCAACCTGTTCTATCTTATTCCCTCTGATAGCCATGCCCCCAGAGCTGGCGAGAAAGATTTGGGGTTGGTACAGCTCGGGGGGAGGGGCTGGGACTCACACACCTGTTCCTATGCCAATCTCACTGCCTGTTACAACTGCCCAAGGCTCATGAGGTAGATTTTCCAAGATGGCGACTGCCCATTTTCATGCTGGGGTGTCTGGTGAGGAGGAGGGAACTGGGCTGTTTCTCCACTAAGTCCAGACTTCTGTCCTCCATCTGGTGCCCTGCAGTGATGCAAGTCGCATTCTAGCGCGCTCTATCTCTAAAAGACCTGAAACTCTGTGTCTCTACACTGCCAGAACTCCGCAGCACTCAATTTCACCCATCTTCAGTGGGTTCCCGGGCTGCTGCCTTCTTTGTAATTTTCATTGTAGAGTTCATTTCACTTCCTTTTTTTTTTTATCAAGTCACAATTAAATCTGTAGTGGTGAATTTGGATGCATTTTACTAGATGAAGTTTATTGTTCATCTCATTGTAATTTCATTTGTATACATCGCCACAATTTTAGTCAGCTTTTTGATCACATTGATGAAAAATAATGACAAAAACAATTTAGAGCAGGAAAAGTTTACTTTGACTCACAATTTCAGAGGTTCAGTCCATGGCCAGCTGACTTCATACCTCTGGACTCAAGATGAGGCAGAAGGATGTGATAGAGGAAGGCACCTCAGGGTACGGCAACAGGAAAGCAGACAGAGAACCCCATTCACCATGAACAAAATATAAATACCCCCAAGGCTCACCCCCAGTGACCCATGTACTCCACTCATAGTCTACCTGCCCAGTTAATACCCAGCTGATTCATATCAATGAATTAATCCTCTGTTTCTGTTACAACTCTCACAATGAAACCATTTTACCCCTCAACATTCCTGAATTATCCCACAAACTAGCTTTTGGAGGAATATTGACTGTCTAAGCATAATACCTACAAAAAAGGAAAAAAAAAGTCCTATTTTAACTTCTTTACACTTAAAATGACAGGATTGACAATAATGATGGTCAACATTTGAATTTATTAATGAGTTATTGATGAATACATGCTTCATAAAAATTATTAATGAATATATGCTTCATAAAAATATCCCAGAAGTTCAAAAGAGGGCAGATTTGTCAAAATGAATTAAATTTAAGGCTATTGGATATGATGGACATTACTTCCCAAGGTGGGAAAATTAATGTCCCCTTCTCACTATGAAATGAAAAAATAGATTTCATTTATCAACTTAGCCTTTTGTTTGTGTTACTTCAGATTTAGTTTAAAATTTTAAAAAAATTCTCAGATTTATTTTAACAAACACATGTCATTGTGCATGTTTTTGGTTTTATTTTCCTCATAAAACATGGATGCTTTCCACTTTTATTTGTTGGATCCACAGATATACAAATTCATCCATAGCTGTGCTAGTCTTTCCCTTTGCTGGTTTTACACATGAATCTTTCAAAAGATGATTTTATATATATACATATTTCTTTTTTTTTTAAATGGATGTCCCTGACTACTTTTTCGATCTATATCATTCTTAACTACCTACAGGGTTTGATAACAAATACGATTCTTCCCAAACTTGAATTAGCAGGTGTTTTTGAAAGAATGATCTTTTAAAGCATTTTAAAAAATAAGTGAATTAGGATTAGAATGTGTTAAAAATGGCAGTGAGTTGGATGGAGTATTCAAAAAAACATTATGAACTAGCTAGAAGGAATAATTAACTTAAGTTTAAGTTTCAAGGAATATGCTGACTTAGCATGCTGAATATTTTCCCAGTAAACAGATTGTAGATAGATATTGCTGAAAGTTTCTAAAATTACCTTTTCATGTTACCTTGAAGACATATACTTATATATTTTAATGTTAATTTTTTAATGTTTCCAATTCTTTAGGCTCTCCCTGTGATCCCACCCTTTACCTGGGCTGTGCTCCCTGCAATGTGATCTGCTCCATTGTTTTCCATAATCGTTTTGATTATAAAGATCAGCATTTGCTAAGTTTTTTGGAAAAATTTGATGAAAACCTCAAGATTCTGAGCTCACCATGGATCCAGGTTAGACCAAAATTTCTTTTTCCTGAGAAAACACTTATGGTCTTTCCTCAGGAAAATCAAAACTGCTAATGGTTCAAGCAATGAAATGAGTCTATAAACTATGTCCAGTCCAGAGCTTGATGTTATGGAGTGAGAATCAGGAAGAGATGTTTAAGCCCTTTATTTTATGCACAGGAATATGAATGCCCACATATAGAGATGATATAAAAGTGCATTGGCTCTCTGGCAAATAACTCCCAAAGCCCAATCTTCATAAAGTACTTTGGTGAATGAACAAAGACAGACCATGGCAAAGACAGCCAGGCTTCTGTGAAGGACTCCTCATTCATAGGGCTGCCCTTCAATCACCACTTAGAAATTTCATCACTTTACTTGGAAGAAATGTCTTCGTTTAGGATATTAAGGAGGGAGAATTGAGGCTTGTACAGATGTTACAGAAACTCTAAATAAAGAAGAGAACTTTGATGCTTCATTAGGATCCCAGCTGACAAGGTAATAGAGTCAATATAATAATTGGTTTTTACTCTGTACAATCCCTGAACAAACATACTTTTACCCCATGCTGAACATGTTCTGCAATCTTCAAAATAGCTATTGTGAGATGCTCAGAAATCCCCTAATGACCTTTGTACACAATTGTATTTCATGGTATTTTCAAAATCCTCCCTGTTCTATAGAAAGTATTCTATTTCTGAGGCTACTTCATACTAGCAACAGCAGAGAACAGCATTGTGCTGTTTGTCAGGTTACCCAAATGTCTTTATACTGCTGTAAGTTCTGTCCTCATCTACAAAATATAAATTTTGGTAATTCATGCCAATTTACATTTCCAAATTGCAGGGAAATTTTTGTTTGAAAAAGGAGATAATTTGTAAAAACTTATTTTTATCTCTAAAAATGATGTATGAGTATAGAAAATGACTATTATTTGTGATTATCTAGTCAAAAGTTCTTTCCCTCAATTCTTATAAGCTTGGAAATTATTATATATGTACAGTAAATATTTCCCTCAAAGTGAACACCATTTAAAAATTTTAAAGCTACAGTTTCTAAAATGGACTAGGCATAAGATTTATATATCTTTATTACATGTTCTCATTTAATGAATATTTTATCTTTTAGGTCTGCAATAATTTTCCTGCTCTCATTGATTATTTCCCAGGGAGTCATAAAATATTTCTTAAGAATATTGCCGATATGAAACAGTATTTTTTTGAGAAAATAAAGGAACACCAAGAATCCCTGGATATTAATAATCCTCGGGACTTCATCGACTGCTTCCTGATTAAAATGGAAGAGGTAGAATGTGAACAACAGCTCAGTTTTCTGATTGCTTCTACATTTCATGTTTCTTTGCTTAATTCTATTGTTACTAGTGATAGTTCATTGGTCAGGCAAGACATTCTTGACAAGCACTTTAAGCACATCCTGTCTTTATAGATCTGCATGAATTATCATAGAAAAATTAAAAAAAACTAGAATACATGGATTCTCTTCTGTAGGTATTGATAATCTACCTCAGGAAATACATATGCATACTTAAGGTGAAAAGGAAACAATTGTAAGAGAGTTATAAAACAAAGTAGGAGCCATAAAATACAGACTGAAAAGTTTACTTGTACTCAGTGTACGGCTTTACACATGAATCTTTCAAAAGCTGATTATATATATATATATATATAATATTATATATATAATTATATATATAATATATATATATTATATATATATATATATTATATATAATATTATATATATATATATATATTTCACCTAATTGACTTTCCTGCATGTTCTAAGATTTGAATAGATCTTGACATATATTCAATGAGGAATAGGGTAAAGGCTTTCAGGTGGGTCAAATGGTCTATGCAGAGGTTCAGAAGTGTGTAATGGCAAAGAGATTAGGTGTATGGAAAAAAGAAAGCCTTAGTTGTGTATAAGTAAAATTAATTTATACAGAAAAGGAGATGTATTTTCAAGTAAGCTATAAGCATGGGTGTTCTCATGAAACATTTTGATTTGAGCAGGAATAAATATGAGCCAGGAAAAATGGAATTCAGATAATTATTAGAAGAAATTCTTCAAATTCTACAGAATCATCCCTGTGATGATAATCCATGCAAGGAGCAGTTGGAAATTTCTTATGTCTTCAATTTTGAGCTTAATGAGCATCTGACACAGCCATGAGATTTCTTATCTTCAGCATTTCTTAATTCAATCAAGCTGACAATTCAAATTAACCATTACAACATGATAAATAAGTCATAAGGCCAACATCTCAAGGAGTTGTGTAGAAAATGACCCTTAAAGATGATCCATGCAATTTGAGCTGAACCTTCAAATCATGTGTTCTAGATGGAATACATGATGAAGATGAAATGATATGAAGAAATGAGAGGGAAAAAGTAAATTACTAATAATCTTATCCTTCTCTTAACGCTAGAGCAATGATTCTTTTCCTTTTTGGAGTCCTATTAATTTGAGAGTTGGATTAACACTTTCTGACAAGAATGAATCTACATCAGTTCTCCATATTTTCCTTAAGTTTATAAAGGCTCTCATTAAGTTCCTTAAAGTTTATAAAGGCTCTCATTAATCTCAGGTCAAAGAAGTGAATAAGATCTTTATTTTTTTTTTCATTTCAAGTAACTATTTTTTTGCAGTACTATATTTAAAACAACTTTGTTTTCTTGGTCTCTTTATTTTATATAGAAACTAGCATATTTTTTCACAGTTTACTGAGACAGTCTACATATGTCATATTATTAACCTACTTGAGGTCTGAACTTGATTGTTTTTTTTTGTATTTTCAGAGTTGTGAAACCATTGTCATAATCTCAAAGGTTTTTTAACCAACCTAAAGAAAAATTCCATACTTTTTATTAGTTATCCTCCATTTCTCTGCAAATATTTTAATCCTAGGCAGCCACTAATCATCTATTTTGTCTTTGTAAATCTTCCTGTTCTTGGTATTTCACATATGTGGTCTTCTGTGCTTGCTTGTATGTATTTGATTATACTTACATCAAGATATTTCAAGGTTGGGAATGTGAATTTAAATGGTAATGTAGTTTTTAATTTCAAGCTTTTGAGATACACGTAACATCTAAACCATAACAGTGGTGCATTAATCACTGCTTTTTTTCTAATCCAGACAAGCTCCAGACTCCTCCACTCACACATTAGCCATACTCCTTGTCCCAGTGCTCAAATCACTACTATTAAATGCAAATGTTCTTCACTATTCTTTGCTTTGCAGGCTGAAATAAAAAATCTGGCTGGTGCTTTGGCTGCCCTGAGTTTTCCCCAAATATGCTTTTTTCTCCTCCATATTCAGACTGAGTCACAGCATGTGCACTAAATGGCTAACTGGTCTTAGGTATTCCAAAAGCACAGGTACCAGAAACCTGTCAAACAGGTAAAAGAAGGGAAAGGGAAAAGGTGGGAGGGGATGGGGAGTAAAATATGAAAGATAAAAGGAAACATCAGGGATTTTTAGTTTGCCAGGTAAGAAAACCAAGGAGTCTTTTAAAGTTTTACAGCTTCTCCTCTTTAAATGCTTTTACTCTCTCATCTGAGGTTTCCTGGGGGTTTTCTCCCATAATAGTTCAACTTCATGTTTCTGAGCTTATTTTCTTCTTTTTTAAAACTTCTTTGAGAAATGTCTGTTTAATTGATTTGCCAATATATTAATTGAGTTATTTGATTGTTTGGGTTTTTTTTCCGTTGAGTTCTTTATATATTCTTGATATTAATCCTATCAGAAGAGTAGCTAGCAAAAGTTCCCCCCCTGCATTCTGTAGTCTTTATCATCATGTTCTTCTTTGCTATGTAGAAGCCATTTCACTTACTCATTTTTGGTTTTGTTTGTTGAGCTTAGGATTCTAAGTAAGGAAGTTAGTTCCTGTGTCATGTTGTTAGACTGTTGAGCGTACGTTTTCTTATAGCAGTTGCAGAATTTCCAGTCAATTCCTAGGTCTTATTTCCATTTTGAAATCATTTTAATGTAGAGTGAGAAGAAGGATCTAGTTTCTTTCTTTTACACTTGGAAATCAAGTTTTTCCAGCACCATTGTTTTGAAAGGTTATCTTTTCTCCAAAGTATATTTTTATAAAGTTTGTCAAGTATTAGATGACTGCATTTCTGTGGAACTTTTCCATGTCTTTTATTCTATTCCATTGGTCTTCATGTTTGTTTTTATGCTGATACCATATAGTTTTATTACCATTAATTTGTTGTACAATTTTAGATCAGTTATTGTGATGCCTCCAGAATGCTCTTATATAGCTTAGGATTGCTTTGACTATTCTGGGTCTTTTGTGCATCATATGAATTTTAGGATTTTTTTGTTGTTGTTCTTTGATGAATGTCATTTGTATCTTAAAGGGGATTGGATTAGATCTGAAGATAAGTTTTGGTAACATGATTATTTTGATCATATCAGTTTGGCCTATCCAAAAATATGGGAGGTTTTTTCCATCTTCTAAGGTCTTCCTTAATTTCTTTGCTCAATGTTTTATAATTTTCAGTGTAGAGATCTGTCACTTCCTCTATTAGATTTATTCCTAGGCATTTGGGGTTTTATAAGGCAATTATTAGTGGGATTGTTTTCCTGATTTCTTTTTCAGAAGATTCATAATTGGTGTATAGAAAGATTATTGATTTTTGTATGATGATCTTGCATCCCATTACATTTTCTGAATTTGTTAATCAGCTGAGAAGTCTCCTGGTGGAACTCTACATGTCTTCTAAGTACAGTATCTTATCATCTGAGATTATTTTCTGCTCAAAATGTGATAGGGCTGGACAAAGGCAACTGCTTCCCTTAAACTTGATGTGAGAAATTCTTTTGTCTCATTGAATGGGAACTTCCTCTTCCCCACTGAGACACCACTTTTTGGACACTTCTGCTTTTATTAATTCTCTTTCTACTATAGAACCTATGGTTTTTAGTTTTGACCTTTTTACTAGTTCTCTAGAATTTCCCTAAAGTCTCTTCCCACCTGAATTTGCCTCTGTAGAACTGATGTTTTAATTCATGTTCAGGGGATTGCAATGATAAGGTATGTGCTTCTGATCTTCTGTGTTCTTTATTTTCAGTACAACCATCTTAATAATAGTTAAGTGTTTTAATCCATGACATGGATTCTGTTCCTACTTAGAAATCTAGATAAAGTTGTTTTAATCAGCTTTTTTGCCACTGTGATAAAAAGACCCAACCAGCACAATTGTAGAGGAGAAAACATTTATTTAGGGGCTCATGGTTTCAGAGGTCTCAGTCCATAGACAGCAGGCTCCATTCCTCAGGGCTCCATTTCCACCCTGCTTTACTTTTCCGCCAACATCAGTGGAGTGAAGCAGCCCACACAATCATGATTCAGAAGGAGAGAAAGAGACTCCACTCATCAGATTCAGAATATATACCCCAAAGCCATACCTCCAATGCTCACCTCCTCCAACCACACCATATCCTCCTTCAGTTACTCAGTTAATCCATGTCAGAGAATTAATCCACTACTTGATTTAAAACTCTCACAACCCAATTATTTCTTTTCTAAACCTTTTTGCATTGTTTTACAGTGAGATATGGGGGGACACCTTGCATCTAAATCATAACATTCTACCCCTGGTTCCCAAAAGCTCACAATTGTTTCACAATACAATATATATTTTGTCCTTTTCCAAGAGTCCCCATAGTCTCAATAGTTCCAAGACTGTTCAAAAGTTCAAGTTCAAAGTCTCCTCTGAGACTCAGGGCAAGTTTTGAGTGTTGTAAGCACCTGTAAAAATCAAAGGTGATTACAAGTATCCAATATATAAAGGTACCCAATAAACATTTCCATTCATAAAATTAGGGGCATAGAAAGAAAGGATAGGACCAAAGCAAGACTTTAAATACAGCCAGGAAAGCAAGTTCTGTAGCTCCACATCTGGAATCTGGGACATATGGCATCATGATGTTCTTTCCAAAAGGCTTGTGTAGATCCACTCTGTGGCCCTGTTGGTTGCAGCTCAAGTGACCTTTATGTTGTCTTGTCTCTGCTCAATTTCTGCATTTTTCCAAGGATGATGTCCCACATTACTGGCATTTCTTAATCTCAGAGGTCTCCACTGAAGTTAGCTTTCTCCTCAAATCTCCACTCATTGCCCTTTCAGGGGCTGTCCACAGGGACAACCTGCTTCACTTTGCCTGGCCTCCCAGGCCTTCCTTTGAAATCTTGGTGGAAGTCTCCATGACTCCCTAATTCTAGCATCCTGCATTCCTGCAGAACCAGCATCACAGGGTTGCTGCCAAGGTCTGCCACCATCTTGAGCAGTAGCTGAGCATCAGGGACCCTGGCTGCAGCAGCCTTTGAGTACATAGGTGACTGAACATGTTGAAAAACATTCTAGGCTCCCTTGTGCCTCTCTTATGTCTTCTCTAGAGAGTTTTTTTCTTTTATTTCCTTGAGTCTGAGATGGATATTATCTTACCAATTCCTGAAATGCCCTAAAGCCATCTTTCTTATTGTCTCTGAGCAAAGTCCTTAGCATTTAGTGGTGCTAATGTCTTTAACACCTGCAACTTCCTTAGCCCCAGTTTTATCTAGGCTTTCAAGTCCAAGTTTTTCAAGTCTTTCTGCTCTGCTTTCTGCTCTGATTAACACAATACACTTGGCTAAAAGCCACCAGCAATATCCAGGCCCCTGTCCCAATGCTATGCTGCCTAGAAATTTCTTCAACCAGATTAAGAAGTCCTTCACTTTTTAAAATTAGCTTTACAGGAAGTCTCGGGACAAGGGCAAAATGCAGACAACTTCTCATCCAGAACATAACACGAATGGCTTCTAGTCCAATACAAATAGTGTCCTCCTTTTCCTCTAAAACTTTTTGAATAATGTCTTCAGTATCCACAGTCCTATTGGAATTCTGGTCTTCTGGGATCAAACCACAGTTGGCCCTTAAGCTCTGCTTACAACAATCTATAGCATTTCCAGCTTGTACTGCTACACATCTCAAAATTTCTCCAACAAATTCCAAAAAATTCCAAAGTCTTTTGAACGTAATAGTCACAGCAACGACCTCACTCTTGGTACCAATTTCTGTTTTAGTTAGTATTTTGAAATGCTACTTTTTCTAAGAAATGAACCTATTGAGTAAATGCTTGTCTAAATATTGGTTGTGTCTTATTAGGCACTTTATAGTCTGCCTGGAGATAATGGAAGCCCCATTAAATAAACTTTTTCCTATGATCTGGTTATAAAACTTATTATTTTACATATAGTCCATGTATTATTGTTATTTCATATTTATATTATAAAATCTCTTTTAGTCAATATTTAAATAACTCTTGTTGATGTCATTTTTGTGCCAAATAATCCCCCCATCCTAAACCAACCCTATTTGTTCTTATCAAGTGCTTTCCTTTTACAATGTCCAATGTATGAGAGCTCTATTTGATAGGTCTCTTATTCTCAGAATCTGCATGTTACCTACTCTTTTCTTAATCCTATGCACACAGTTAATAATAAGCTCTCTGTTCTCATGTTTGTAATGCCATTTCAAACTGAACATTGGGAAGACTGTTAATTTAATGGTAAATTCATTGTTATAATTTTTTATAAGTCAAGTTATATTTTACCTCACAATAAAAATACAGCAATTGTTAGGCCCATTTTGTCTTTTCAATTGATTCTCTATAATTTATTTTATTATGTTCTGATATATTAGCTTTTACACATTTTCAAGTTTATAATGAGTGTGTGGAAATGCTGGGTCTAACTAAATTTCATATCAGTAGAAGAAAGCTGCATATTCTTGGTTTACATTATTATATCTTCTATGATATGGGCCCAATTTACATATTTCTATCAATTATGATCATCTTTGTCTACAAATAAGAAAAACAATACTAGCATCTTAGAAATAGTGAATTTATTCTTCTTAAATAAAATGCAGTCTTATAATGGGCCATAACAGAGTTAGTACAGGAGTCCATTAACATTAGAGACTCAGATGCCTTACATTTTCCTTCACCATATGCTATAATTTGGATGTGGGGTTTTTTGGGGTTTTTTTGCATTCAAAAATAATACTGAAAGTTTTCTGTAAGTAACAGAACTAAGAGAGGCTGGGGCAAAATAAACTTCTATTCTTTATAATTCACCCACTTTCTGGTAGTCTTTTATAGCACCAGAAAATGAACTAAAATGTCAACATAATATACCACCTTTTACCTTCATGCTTAAGTCTTGCTATCACAAAATGATTATTGTCTTACCTATATCTTGCATTTATGTTTTGAATAAAAATAAGGAAAGAGAAGTGGTGCCAACAAACATTTTATTCATAAGAAATATATTGCATAGCCTTCCTAGCTATAAACAGAATCCTTAGGGAACAAGGAGTAAAAGAGTAGGAAATGAAGATTTGATCAACTCCTCTATAGTTTACCACAATACACAGTAACTTTTTATAATACTGTATTCTCCATGTTCTATGTTGGCTTAACTTTATAAGAATCTGAGTTACTTTGTATTTGTTATAATTAAATATCAAATTCATTGTTAAATAATTGCATTGAATTATTTCTAGGAAAAGTACAACCAAGAGACTGAATTTACCACTGAAGCCTTGATAACCACTGTGAATGATCTATTTGGAGCCGGGACAGAGACAGTAAGTTCCACTCTGAAATATGGAATCCTGCTCCTGTTGAAGTACCCAGAGATTACAGGTAAAAGCACAGAGTTGAAAATAAGATAGAAATCCACTTCTTGAAATCAGATGCTCTTAGCTCTTTTCTCTCTCCTGAAACTTAACAATCAGATATAAGAATCCAGAAAATGCATAGCTCCAAAGGGAAATATTTGCATGTACACCATCAAGGTAGAAAATTTATTCCAAGTGTTTGGATGAGTGAATAAAATCAAATCATCCACTCCAGAAAAGAGGATCTTGGAATTTGGGAATAATATGGTTAAAATCACATCAACTTTCAGAAATAAGTCATGTCATATTTAAAGCATTATGAATGAGAATGGCATCAGAGTTCTTAAGAACAACTGCCATATTTTGGGTTAGAGAAAAGATAAGAGTCAAGCTTGGTGGTGGTGCATGCCTGTAATCCCAGTTACTCAGGAGGTTGAGGCTGGAGTATTGCAAGTTGAAAGTAAGCCTCAGCAATTTGTTATCTCAAAATAAAATTAAAAGGGCTCTGGGTGTGGTTCAGTGGTAGAAGGCCTCTATATTTGATCTCTGGGGTGGGAGGACAAGAGAGAGAAAAACAAAAGAGAAAATTAAGGAAAGGAAGGAAGGAAGGAAGGAAGGAAGAAAAGAAAATTTCAGATTCCGCATTTGCTAAACAAATTCATTCTCCTTTTCACTGACAAAGAAAAATACTGAAACATATGTTCCATTCAAATATTTGAAACCAAGGCAGAGGACGTCACAGGTTTTAGAAATCAGACGACCTTATTATATATTATGATGGGAGTTTAGAGGAGTGTCTTGGGCACGAGACTTAGGAAATAAACCATTGTCTATATTAAGTAGATAAAGCAAGTGTAATAGAAAATAAGAAAAATTAAAGTGATAATCTGGAGTTTAAACATTTATAACATTATTACTAGAAGTGTGAAACATTGTCCTCAGCATTTGGATACAATATAAATAAGCAACTAGAAGATTAGGAATTGGTATACCTTGGTATAAATTGTTCAAATATAAGTTAAACATGTGCAAAGAATGAAACATGCATATAGTAAACAATAGTTATCAGGTCATAATGATATTGGTGATGAGAATCAGGGCCAAGTTTAGTGACTGTTGACCAAAAGGTGGGCCAAAATGTGAAATAATCCAAGGACATGACCAAAGCCATCCAGGGGTACAAGTTGGAAGGGAGCGATAACAGGGGACATTAATCATTAACAACTCCTTATAGGGAGGAAAAATTCCCTGGAGGCAGGTAACCTTGGGTGACAGGTGGAGGAGGAGGGAAAGGGGCTTTGGAGGTATTAGTAACTTATTTCCTCTTGAATCGGCCCCCATTTTTCTGACCCAATCATTCATTGCCTACACTGATTGTCCTTTTGCCCCAGTCTAATAGTGTAAACAATGCATATTGATAGCTAGGAATTGTTATCAAAATATATAGGTGAAGCAGTAAGGAGGAAAAGTATGTAAGGTAGGTGTGTGTGTGTGTGTGTGTGTGTGTGTCTATTTGTGGTGTATATTTTGCATAAAGCAGAGATGAATCTTAATCTTCCTTACCAAGAAATCATTAAGGGTTTTCTAAAATTGGATAAATTAAGAAATATAAATAGATGATTACTTGGATATATAAATATTTCTAAAGATATATCTAGAATGATTCAAAAGGCTATATCTAAAGTGTGGGAGATTGAAAAGGGTCCCATTGAAAATCACACACACACACACACACACACACACACACAGATATGCAATCGCATCTATATCTTTTAGTAGAATTTAATTTTAAAATGTCATATACTATTTTAGTATAAAATTAAAGTTTATTCTTGCTTTTTTGAAATGACAATATTTCTTGGATTAATTATGTGGTAATTTCATATTTGAAACATTTAATCATACAATTTGTATCTGATATCATACATTAGGTTTGTATAGATTTAGGTTGTATAGCTATGTCTTAATATCTAGCTTATAGGAGATTCATAAATATATGTGACTCATATTATATATGTTTGAATGAATATATATATATATATATATATATATATATATATATATATATATATATATATATTGCCTAGATAGATAGATCGATACAGATAACATGTCCATCTTTTTACTCATCCAGGTATATGTGGGGCATATAGCTCATGTTTTAATTCATTTGTAGATGCTCACAATACTATTTTTTTCTCCTTTCCATCATCTTTTATTTGTATCTTATCAGCTAAAGTTCAGGAAGAGATTGACCATGTGATTGGCAGACACCGAAGTCCCTGCATACAGGACAAGAGCCATATGCCCTACACAGAGGCTGTCGTGCATGAGATCCAGAGATACATTGACCTCCTGCCAACCAGTGGGCCCCGTGCAACAACCTGTGACATTAAATTCAGAAACTACTTCATCCCCAAGGTAAGACTAAGACTCTTCTCCCATGTTGAACTTCAGTCCTCCTGAAGTTCCCAAGTTTGCAGTATGATCTCAATTCTGTGCCAACACAAAATTGGAGAAGTACAAAACTCATCCACATAATAGTTTGTTGGACTCAGTTTGCTGGGCCAGTTTGGGTCATCAAGCTCCATAACTGTTCCTGATATCCGGCAGTGTGAATTTTCCCAGTTTCTTCTGCTCCTTCAAGATTGTTTTGTCTACTCTCAGCTGTTTACACTTCCAAACAAATTTTAGTATCAGTTTGTTAATTTCCTAAAACACTCTCCTGGGATATTTTCAGCATGATATTAAATCTACAGAACAATTAGTAAACAAGTGACATCTTCACGTGTGGAATATTTCGGTTTATGAACAGTATATATGTTCCCACTTCATTTGAACTTTATTTTTCCAGTATTATTTTGTTTTCAATGAGGGCTTACACATTTTTGAAAGCTTTTTTTAATTAGGTAATTAATATTTTAAAAGCTAACATAAATTCACAATTTAAGCAATGCCTTTTCCATTTTGTTGTTTTTGGCATGTGGACACATAGTTATAATTTTTATTTTAATGACTTTATATCTAGAATTCTTGTTAAATTTATTCATCATGGCAATAATTTGTCTTTATATTCATTTGGAATTTCTTATGTATACTTCTATGTTATCTGGATTAGCACTTTTTTATTTATTACTTTCAGATGCTAGTGACCTTAATTTCTCTTTCTTACATTATAGTATTGCCTGGGATTTCCAATAGTAATGAGCAGAAGTGATATGTTGAGCTTATTTATTTATTTATTTATTATCTCTGGCAAGGGGTGAAAGTTTAACATCACACTATTTTATATTGTATTTTATGTACATTTTGGCAGAGATTCTTTATCACATGAGGGAAGTTTTCCTTTTCTTCATTTTGTTTGTTGTTTCCCCATAATGTATCGTTTTGTTCGTCACTACTGCACAATTCTGTCAAATGGATTCTCTGTCTCCGTTGATCATATATTGATGGTCATATGCTTTGGTCTCCCTTTCTCCCCAAATATGTAATTGTAAGTATACTCACAAAAGGATTTGATCTTCTACTGTTTGTTAAGGACATTTGTATATTTGTGTCAGGCTGTTCTCCTGTTTTTCTTCTTGAAATTTCCTTGTTTCTGAAATCTATGTAATGCTGGCCATATAAAGTAAGGGAGAGATCATATTTCCTACCTTGGACTAATTTTGTTGGCTTTCTATCCTCCCATTCTTCTTTTTGTGGCTTCTTTGTTCTGTCTTTGGAATGCCTAATGATATTTTCCTATGTTTAGTTATATAATAAAAACTTCAGTTTCAAATGATATTCATCTTCTTCTAGAAAGAGTTTTTCCCTGCCCTCCTAGCTAAGTCAGAATACTACACCACCTCCTGCCCTGACTCAAAAGTTGTTAACTAACACAGTTAAAAATTGCCTATAGCCATCAGCCAAAAGGGGAGCTTCCCTGAGCTGTGCAATATTGGAAACAATTTTTATCTCAGCAGCTTTCCAATGACTAAAACATAAGGTTTCTATATTTTTAAAAGACTTTCTAGTCGGTGTGCTCCAAGCTACTCCATTATACTGGAGCCCAACGCATATTACTAAGGAAAATTAAAAATGGTATAACTAAATGTTTTATTTTTATTGTGGGAAGAACAATATGAATTTAGGAAAGTTAGAAATATTATTTTCATCTTCTGGAGAAAAGAGAATTGAGGACTTTCCCAAGAAATGACCTAATGATCTCGCAGTTTTCCTGCCTCAGCCTCCCAAATCAATTCACTAAATTCAGCATAGAGCACACAAGCAGATGATGTGATGCCTGGTCTCTGTGGAGTATAGAGAGCCCAGAACCCAAGAGAATGGCCTTTTCCTTTCTGCATGTGACAATTCAATACAGGAATTTTCAAAACTGAATAGCTGATACTAATCATTCATTGTTTTTAATGGAGTCATTTGAATTCCTTAATAATTTAAGGGAGTCCATCACAGGATAGATTCCTGTGATTATGATAGACTTCTGCTGTTGCATAAAATTTCTACTATCACAGGATTGAGCCACCCAGCTAGGTGGGCATAATGCTATCAGACAAGTGGGTAAACTTCTTCTGTAATGGACCAGATAGTTTCTAGTTAGTCTTTTACTCGATAGGGTCTGTCTTGCCACTCCTCAGCTCCGCCACTATGATGTAGAAGCAGTCATTGTATGTAATGAGTGAAGATGGTGTGTTCCATTATTTGTGGATGGTGATTTTTTAAGTTTTTGTAGGTCACAAATTTTCAATTAAAATTACTAGATAAGTTTATACAAGAACAGATGAGAGGACAGATTTGGGTGGTTTGTGGTTTGCTGATGATTGGCCTGAGTCAGCACGGTGGGGTGGAACTTTCTGAGCGACAGAAAAGCTGCACTTTCTGGGCTGCCCCACACAATATCCCCTAGCCATATGTGCCTTTTGAGTAACTCCAATGCAATTAGTGCAAGTAAGGAACTGAATTTTAGTTTAATTATTTTATATTATGACATGTTAGTTTTACTTCCATTGTTTGAATTTCAATTTAGTTTAAATTAATTTAAATTTATGCATGTGGCAAGAATTTATTGTGTTGCACAGCACAGATTTTAGGATTTTCCTAAACAGGATTATAAATACTTCATTTTGGTTGGGTGAGGGGTAATGAAATACTGTTAGAAAACAGTAATAAATCCTACTATTCTTCAGCACAATAGAAGAATTGTCCTTTACAACAATTAATTATATATCTTGTAAATAACCAAAAGAGACAATTAAAAATATTCCCAAAGAAATCATAAAATGGTGGCAATGCTACTTGCCTGATTTGATCTTTATAAAATAAGAAGTTGCATAAACAAATCCAGGTCTATTTTACTTACATGCATAGAACAATTGTGAAGGAACATATTCTTGGGAAGGTTATATCACTAACTGGTGGAGACAGTTGTTCCTGGAAATTCCAAATTGTGTTCTGTGGTTAAATGAGATTTTTTTTACCATATCTACTTTTGAGACAATGCATTGTTCTATTTTTAATTGAGTTCTAAGTAAAGTGATGTAAAATAAAATTCCTTTTTTTTTTTTGGCAATGCTGAGGATCAAACCTATGGTCTTATTCATGCTAGGCAAGCACAATACCATTGTGTTACATTCCCAGCATGAAAATGCACTCTCTTAAGTGTATAGTCCCATGGATTTTGACAAACACATACAATGATGCAATTATACAACAATGGAGGTATAAACATGTATGGGTATGGTGGTGCACACTTGTGGTCTCTACTACTTAGGAGGGGATTGCTTCAACCTATGAGTTTGAGATCAGCCTAGGCTACATAGTAAGATACTGTCTCAAAAAAATGTGTGTGTGTGTGTGTGTGTGTAATATTTCCATTGCCCTGTAAAGTTTCTTTTTCCACCTATTACAACCAATCACACTCCCTTGATTCCAGCTCATGGTCACCATAGATCTGTTTTCTGTACCTATGATTTTGTTTATCAAATCATACAATGAAATTTGACATACAGAATTTATCAAATCTTTTATCTATGGTTATTTTGACTTGATTTATTCTTTCTACAATACTATTTTTATATAAATCTTTTTAAATTACTTGATTGGTTTCACTGGGTTAAAATTCTGCATGCACATCACACAGTTTGGTCAATTTCATTGCCCAGTACCTCCCTTTACACTTACCTTCTCCTCTACCCTACTTGTCTCCCTTATGTTTTCATGTACCTTTGACTGTTTTATGTAGAAGAATATATTTTAGATTCACCTTCATTTTCATGTATCAGTAGTTCATTCTCTTTTCTTATTCAGTAGTATTTCCAGTCATGAATTACCAGAAATTTTTTCTCCATTCATAGGACATATGTACTCTTGGTTGTTTCTAGTTTGGCGCTTTTAAATATAAGAAGTATGGACATTTGTGTGCAAACTTTAAGTTGGACTATGTTTCCTTTTCCTACTGAATAAATATATAAGACTGTAAGCATTGCACAGTTTTTAAAATTTATATAAAATTCACAGAATCAATTCCATTTTTCTTTTATAATTTGTTCTTTATGACCTATGTAAAAAATATTTGCCAGCACAAGACCACAATTTAATCACATTTTGAAAGTGTTAGCTCTTAAAATTTAATTGGTGATTCATTTCAAGTTAATTTAAATTGGGGCTATAATATAATGGTCATGCATGTGTTCTTTTCCTTTTCTTGAGATAGGATTTCACTGTATTGCCCAGGCTGGCTTCAAACTTCTGAGTTCAAGTGATTCTCCTTCCTTAGCCTCTTCATTTTCAGGAAAAAAGATGAAACTTGAAATCATTATGTCAAGTAGGATAAACAAAATTCAGAAAGTCAACAGTCATATGTTTTTTTCTCAGACATAGAAAAAGGAAGAAAAAGGGAAAGGGATCTCATGAAAATCAAAGGGAGAATAATCTAATAGATGAAAAGGACCAGGGAAAGGGCACAAGGGAGAGAACAGAGAAAAACTGGGAAACAATATTGATCAACTTCTATCATTTCTATTTGCAGATGTGACTATGTGACAACAAATCTCACTATTATATATAATTATGATGCACTAATAACAATACAGAATAAAGACACATTTTCACATACTGTTTTAAAATATAAAGGGAACAATTTTTAAGACATTAGCATGAACCAATAATCTTTAATGAATTATTGAAAATTGTTTTTTTAATTACCATCTCTTCTGCATTTGAGGGATATTCATCTGAAAAAAAATTCTCCCATATTTCTAAATCAGAAGACACAAATTTTGTAACAATGTTAAGCACTTAATAGTTGATATTTCCTTTTTACATTCCCAGCAAAACTGTAGAGAGATATCCTGGATATTTCAGGATTCAATAGAGATCTATTTTAAACCAGAATTCCATTAAGCAGTGTGAAAACTGAAGTGGTTTAGAGAATCAAGTAGAGGCAGACACCAGCATCCAAGCTTGATGATAACTTGAAGATTTGGTACTCAAGTAATCAAATACTCTCTACTTCAAATGTTATTGGGGGGCACTTTAGCAAAGTCATTGCTACTGACTTTCAACTCATGTATTTTATTACTTGATTGGCTCACTGGAAATATCACACTCTTCTTTGGACAAGGGTTTCTTATCTATAGATCATAACATCTCTTATCTATTGATCATAAATAAATTCCAACATTTCCTCTAGTTTCACAACTTACTTACACCTTGGTTTATCTGTGTCTGTTCATTGCAGGGCACAACCATAATAGTATCACTGACATCTGTGCTACATGACAGCAAAGAATTCCCCAACCCAGAGAAGTTTGACCCTGGCCATTTCCTGGATGAGAGTGGCAAATTCAAGAAGAGTGACTACTTCATGCCTTTCTCAACAGGTAATAGAAATTATTTCCACTGGTACTTCTGGGGAAAAAAACACGTTCATGGGATCAGGTAAACTTGCACAAAGCTTGTTTTGGGATTGGTAGACACATTCTTTGCACATGATCAGGAGCAACACTTTCAGTGCCTATGCACTTTCCCAGATAGGATACTTTGTTACTGAGTCAGACTAATTGGCCTTGGGAAATTGACCTAGTTTTTCCAAAGTAAGAAAACTACAGACAGGGTGGATTGAGTTATGCCTCAAGATACATGACTGCATTTCCCAGAACTCTTTCTAGAAGATTATATTCATCTCCACTGTCTTCAACTGCCCTAATAAAGAATATAACTCCACAACTTTGTTGAATGTCATCCAAGTGGTGACTCTTATGCCCCTGCTGAGCTGTGGGAATGCAAGTATCCACAAATACAGAAGGGGCCGCCAAGGGACCCACACTTTGGTTAGCCAAACAGATGAATAAAGAGATTGTTGTAATCCAATATGACTTGAGGTTTACAACATAGTGGATTGTTGTAATTCATTATGACTAGTGATTGGCTGTTCCTGATGGCAAAGGAAGAAACTACATCTTTCCTGTTCTCTCATACCACACAGTGAGACATAAAATGGATTTAATGGATTCAAATAGAAAAAAAGGACATTAGAGTTCCCTCATAAGAGAGGCAGGGAGTTTTAAGAGAGACAGTGAATCAGAAGAGTAGGAAACTTGCTCTTGATCAAGGATGCCAGAGCTTTCTGACTGGTAAATGAGGGTCAGCAAACTGTGGGAGTAGAACAGATTATCCTTTAAAGGCACAAGAGCACCTTGATCTTCCTACATCTAGTTCCTCCTTTGGATACAGAGCCCTTCATACCTGAACTGTATGCTGAGTCTCTGGCATATCATTGTCTAAATTTATTCTTTGGCTCTTCAAGCTTACATTTAGGTCTTGCACTGTAGATACAAATATGACAAGGACTGAGCCCTGCCTTAATGGAACTCCTATTTCAGAAGGCTAGAAAAATAGAACGTAATAATTCAAATAATCTATGTTTCGTCGCTGACTAAAACCAAAGAAGATGAGAATTATTGTCTGGAAGAATCATAAAGAGTATAATGGGAAAATGACTTTTGATCTAAGATCAGAAAGAAGTATGAGAAGTGCATCCTAGTCAAAAGGAATAGCATGAGACAAAGCTTGAAAGTGTATTGTATGTTTTAGGCTGATGAGACTAAACAGATCTGATAAATGGGAGGAAAGATCATGGAACATCAGACTGGAAACAGGGAACACAAGTAATGAGTATGTGTTTCTGGAAAACGATTGAAAGGAACATGAAATGTCAAAACAACAACAAAAAACCAAACCATTTTAATGTTGGAATGGTTAGTGAAGTTCTTTGAGTTCAGCTAATAAGCATAAACCAATAAATAAGTTGTGCTGATAAAATATTAGAAGGATAGCAAGTGTGACCTTCAGTCTAATCAACTTTTTAGCTCTTTGTCCATCCATCCATCCATCTATCCATCCATCCAATCTATCTATCCATTCATCCATTCATCTAATCATTCATCAAATAGTGACTCTGTATTCTTCTGATGCAAGTCAGAAATATACTGTTCGAGGAGTATTTATCCTCTCCCTCTTGGTTATTTTCAGGAAAACGAATGTGTACAGGAGAAAGCCTGGCCCGGATGGAACTGTTTTTATTTGTGACCACCATTTTACAGAACTTTCACCTGAAATCTGTGGTTGACCTAAAGGATCTTGACATCACTCCCGTTACCAGGGGATTTGCCTCTGTGCCACCCAAATACCAGCTTTGCTTTGTTCCTGTCTGAAGAAGAGCAGTCTGTCTGCCTACTGCTGTCATCTGGAATTTCCTCTTTGGGGCATGCTCCACCTCCTTCCCTATCAGGCCTGCCTTCTCTGATCTACTTCTCACCACCTTATTTCTTTGAAATCCAGTGAACACTAAACCCCTATTACAGAGAATTTCCTCAGTTTTCACAAATAATACATGCTTCCTGTTTACGTATGTAACACTTGCATTAGCTATTCTGTATTTTAACACTCTTGTGAGTTTTTCCTATGGCATCACTGTTAAACCAAAAAAAAAAAAAAAACTGGGGAAAAATTATGTTAAGTGAAATAAACCACACACAACAAGATAAACACCACATGATTTTTACTTTTATGTGTAATACAAAAAAGTTACACATTTATAATAGTGATAAGTATTGGTTACTAGAATGTGGAAAGGGGTGACAGTGTGAGAGAATGGGGAAAGAGAAGTTGGTTAAAGGATACAAAGTTTTGTGTAGACAGGAGGAATGAGTTCTAATGATCTCTTGCTGAACATGGTAACTATAGTTAACAACAATGCCTTGCATATTTTATAATAACTAAAATGGGAGACATTAAACATCCTCCCCATAAAGAAAGTTCAAGGATATGAGATAATGACCATGTTAATGAGCCTGATTTAATTAACCTTCCATGCGTACATGTATCATATTATCAAAATGTACCCCACAAATACATATGATTACTACTTGTGAACAACAACAAAAAAAGGAAGTAGATTGAAAACAAAAAGTGCAAATGAAAACTACATTTTATCCATTTTTATCACTCTTTATTGGTAAATGAGAATATATTAATCAAGTAGTGACAAAATGTGTAGAACAAAAGGGAGTCTGATATTCAGAAAGTCAATTTCTCAATGTCTACTATTAATATCTTACTAAAATTTGTAATCTTCCTTTCACCACTACCTTCCATCATTTATCTTCTAATTCCCCTTACTCTGCTTTTGCACTTTGCATGCTTTTCTTTTTCTTTTTTCAACTTATACTTTCTCATAAACCTATGAGATAGATCATATTTGTATTAGTTACCACTACTGCCTTAACAAATTACCACAAATATAATGACTCAAAACAATAGAGATTAAAAGTCTTATAATTCTGGGGTTCAAAGGTCAAGTATCATCTCCCTTGGATTAAGATGATTCTACCAGTGTGGATGATTCCTTTGGAGGCTCTAGGGGAGATTCCATTTCCCTGATTTTTTCATCTTGTAGAGGCTGCCAGAATCCTTTGGCTTGTGAGTCCTTTGTCACATCAATTCAACCTCAGCCATCACATCTGCCCTTTCCCCATGCCCTTAGTGATTACATTGGTTCCATCCAGATCATCCAGTAGAATATATGCATACCATGGTCCTTGATATTTCTGAGTCTGCAAGGCACTCTGACAAATATTGAGTTTAATAAAAATCCCTCTTTCATTCACCTTGCTACAAAGTAGTACTCCTGTTGCTTAAATCCTAAACCACTATCATCTTAAATATTAGCTTATTTTATATTTGATATATCATTAAAATCCAATAAATAAATGAATTAATCTCTGTATTTAAGAGCGTACCTGATATTGCCATACTTTGTTTCTTTTTACAAAAGGTTAATTTAGAATATATTTATATCTTTTTATACATTTAGGATTAGTCTACCAATCTTCATTATTTCCTGCATATCAAAACTAAAATCTCATACTATTTTTTTCATTCCATTCAGAATGGCAATTATCAAGAGTATAATTAATAATAAATGCTGGCGAGGATGTGGGGGAAATGGTATACTCATACATTGCTGGTGAGACTGCAAATTGGTGCAACCACTCTGTAAAGCAGTTTGGAGATTTCCAAACTGCTTTCCAGTTGGAATGAGACCACCATTTGACCTAATTATCTTGCTCCTTGGCATATACCCAAAGAATTAAAATAAAATACTATAGTGGCACAGTCACATCAATATTTGAAGCTCAATTCTCAATAGCTTAGCTAAGGAGCCAACTTAGGTGCCCTTCAACAGACAAATGGCTAAAGAAGATATCGTATATATACACAATGAATATAGAAGAATGCAAATTATGGAATAAAGGAGAATGAAATTATGGCATTTGCCAATAAATGGATGGAACTGGAGAACATTATGCTAAGTGAAATAAGTCAATCCCAAAAAAACAAAGACTGAATGTTTTCTCTGATATGCAGATGCTCATATAGAATAAGAGGGGGCGGGGAAAGAAGAATAGAAGGTATTGGGAATGAAGGGAAGGGATGGGCAATAGGAAAAGAAAAGGCAGTAGAATGAATGGACATAACTTTCCTATGTTCATATATGAATACACGACCAGTGAAACTCCACATCATGTACAGCCACTAGAATGGAATCCTAATTAGAAAAAGTTATACTTCATGTACATATAATATGTCAAAATACATTCTACTGTCAAACACAACTAAAAAGAACATATAATTTTTTTAAAAAAATTAAAAGTAAATTAAAGAAAGCAGTGATTCTCCTAGTGGTGGAATTTTAGATATTAGTAAGCAAAGGAAAATCTTTGGGGATCTGATAGGGTGAGAAATGAAAAAAAAAATGGTTGTCTAATTCCCCTGGAATTTGTTAGATCTCCTCAATATCTCTTATGAACAGCTCTTAAACAAGCCTTTTAAGCTTTTTTTTTTGACCCACTAATTTTTCATCTGTTATTCACCCTATCAGGCATCTACAATGCTCATTACCTCTAATTGTCTTCAACATATGGCACACTGGCCAAGCTCAGTCAGGTTGCTACAAACAGCTGTGTATGTGGGAACTTCCAGAGTTCCAGGTGATGAGTCAAATAATGACAATGTTCTGGAACAGAGCTTTGAGGGAGCTCCAACTCCATGCTTCTGCCTCCAGTGTCAGTGAGACCTCTGCTTTCACCTGTGATGATGGGCAGTCTTTTCAGTGTTCCTCTTCAGTGCTGTGGAGATGTAGGGAGGGAATGAGAAAAATTAGAACAAGATAATATCACTATTCTCACTTCTCACTCATACTCCCATGTTGAATAAATACTTAAAAGTTTCTGGGATGTTGGTTAATTTCTAATAGCCTAAAAAAATGTTGATAAAATTTTCACTGTGCTCTCATTGTTTCATGTTGGAGAGAATTTTCAGAAGTCTTCAGCATTTTTTGCTGACTTTCCCCAGTCTAATATTTAGTATAAATAATAAGAGTGAATATCTTTACCTTATCTCAATTTTATAGGCAGTTCAATATTTCACCATTGATTAAAATATAAGATTTAAAAGAAATCCTCTTTTAGAATATGGAGGACCCTTTCTTAGTTTGCTGAAAGTGTTTATCATAAATAGGTTTTGATTATTATTTTAAGAGTGTTTTGACTTTATTGGGATGATAAAATTTGGGGGGATTCTTCATGATGCACATTGTACATCAAATAATATAATGATAAGTTGAGACTCAGGATGACATTACCTTTCTTCTGCCAGAACCATGTGTTCAAGAAGCATGTTTAGGTGTGGATCAATATAACTGTGAACACAATTATTTAAGCCAAAACACTGGTTTTCAGATCCTTCAACTTCAGGCTTATTAAGAATCTTTGGATAAAGACTTTTTTTAATAGTGCTAAGAATTGAACCCAGGGCCTTGTTCATGTGAGGCAAGCACTCTCCAATTGAGCTATATCCCTAGCCCTGGATATTGACCTTTATGGTAACCTTATTAAGGCTTCAACTGAAGTCTAGGTGTTTACTTTGTTTTTCTTATTTGATGTGATCTCAATTCCATTTTTTGTCTTTGAGAATCTAACAAAAATTATTTTCCAGTTCTAAATATCCCAAATGGTATTTTGTAGTCAGTCTTTCAGTGTTTTACCTCATGATTTCAAATCCATAGTCATTTCAAATCACATCAAATATCAGTCTTCCCCATGTGGATTGTCCAATCACTCTGTTATGTTTTTCCCAAAAAGGCTTACAACATTTGTTATTGTTCTATGCTCACAAATAAATGTTCATTTGCGTGCATGCATGCATGTGCGTGTGTGTGTGTGTGTGTGTGTGTGTGTTATCACCAAGGGAGCAAGACATAGAAAGAGAGAAACAGATACTGACACAGATATAGACATTAGTTTTAGAATTTTTTTTTCATTGTAATGAAATATCGTTTGCAGATTATACGATTTTCTACTTCAGAAATCCATGAAGTACTAAGTCTTCCAAAGAATTTGATTCTCAGTATTTACAAGGGCTTGGGAATATAGCTCTTAATTCTATTCACAATAGAAAATAAAAAAACTTCAATAGTATTCAATACACTATATTCACTGTCTCTGAAAATAAAAATTTACATAAACTATGGTGCTGCCATTCCATATCTAAGAAAACATTGTGAAGTAGTGCAGAGGTAATTATCATTGGGAAAAGACAAAAAGTATACATGATGAACTGTCAAACAATTATTCCCCTGGAAAGTTACATAGGAGTGAGAGGCAAGTAGATTTATATTTTATTTTAAATATTTTTGAAGTCTTAGAATAATTTCTGATATTTTTTACTAAAAATATTAAATTTATAATGTGCTTTCTTTTTGGTATTCACTGAAAGTCAGATGTAGCTTTTGCTCTCAGGACTATATTACAAGAAGAACTATATGGGATGCTTAAATAAATGTGGAATTGATAAATATATCAGTAAATGACTAACCTATGGCTTCTATTCCTGCACAAATCTGGTTTCCTTCCTTTCATTCCTTCCTTCCCTTGTGTCTACCTGTTCTCTGAAAACTGACTTCTAGTTAAGCCAGGAGCCAGATCCTTGGAATTTAGAAAACCGGGTGCTAAAAAGTTCAGAGTAATTATTCTTTCAGTCCCACCCTCCCAGGTCACAGTTCTGGCAGTGACTGTATTCATCTACCAATACATGCATTTGCAGTTTAGGCGTCCACTGTATCTTGGCTAAATGTCTATTTGGTTTCCAGGGACACCCTTCTTCCCTTGCACCTTCCAACCTGGGATGGTAACATCTTCCTGCTGATACTAGTCCCGAATCCTTTGGCACACTTGGCCACTTCCCTTATCCTGTGCGGACCTTTGAAGACAGCCGCCTCTTTAAACTCTTCAAATAGCAATTTTGAGTGTGTGCCACCAGTTTCTTTCAAAGATCCTTACAAATTACAAAATGACAATTAAATGTTACTTCCTGAAAAACATCTCCCCTACCCTGTAACTGCCATTCCCCTGCCTCAAAAAGACCAGGCAGATGCAGGATCCTCTCTCTGGACTCCTACAGCGGCCTCTAGTGTAGCATTGGTCACACTGCAGTTTCATTGCCTGTTCATTCATCTTCCTCTCAGGAGCAAGATCTGTTTCTAATTCACATTTGTAGCCCTGGATCTGAGCTTGAGATTGCAACATATGATGTGCTCAGTAATGTTATTGATTGAACTGGCTTCTCAGGTAAATGAGAATAGTCTTGATAGAACTGGAATTCTAGGAGCTCCTGAGAATCTCTGCAGGGCCAGGAAGCAGAATCAGTGGAGCCTCCAAACCACTGAGGAAAAAAACTAACAACCTGGACATGGGGAGTAGTGCCTCTGGCCTCAGAGAAATGACTATTCATAGCCAGAGTAACCTCCACACAAAGCCCTCCCCCTCCTCACTTGACCCCTGATGCACAGATGAAAACAGAGCTTGCTTGCCTGCTGAGAAAGCCAGGAAGTAGTCACTCTTCTTAAAGTTGCCACTATCATCCAGAAAGTGGCCAGGGTCAAACTTCTCTGGGCTGGGAAACTCTCTGTCATCATGCAGGATGGAAGTCAGGGATGCTATTATGTTGATCCCTGATAGAAAGAGAAACAGATGAACTAGTTTATAAAGGAGGTCATGGGACTTGAAAAAAAAAACTTAGACATCCCTCAGCCAATCCTTTTGTTTTGTAGATGAGGAGAGGGAGGCACAAAAAGGAGAATTTATTTGCTCCATGTCACATAACAAATTCATAGCCAAGCCCAACAGGACTTAACCATGTATGTAATACCTGGTCCAGGGCACTGTTCACCACCTGCAAGGCCATCCTCAGCAGGGTGTAATCTGACACCAGCATTTCCTGTGCAGTTCAAGGAAGCTCCCTGAACTGCATTGCTCTGGATGAATAAATTACAATACAACAAAGCTGATGTCACTGAATATCCAGCTCATGCCCGTTAGTGCCGAAACCCAGTAGTTGTGGGGTAATATTTTTGTAAACCCTTCAATTCTTTACCAAGATTAGTTCAACTTTTGGAAGATAGAATATTTTATTGAGTAAGTTTGGTATCTGGCCGCCTCAGGCTGTTTTTGTTAAGTTCTTATTTTAGCTACAAATAGACCTTATTACTGGCTTTTTAGTATTGTGTAATTTTATTGACATAATTGAGAATTAGGTATTTAAAATGTTATAATCAGTTAACTCAAGAAATAAGTTATTTTTACTCTCTCAACAGTTACCATTATTATTTCCAAATATTTTGCAAAGACTATTTCTTGTCATCTGTGATCAACTGAATCTCTATTCTGA